GATGCAACGTGTGTCTTGCAGGCCAGGAGCAGATAAGGTTAAAATACATTGCTGTTGAAAGCAGCACAGCAGAATTTTTCTGAAGAGAAAAGCATCCCAAAATGCACCTAGTTATGTTAAGGTGGTGCTAGGATAAGAAGACAAATCTTTTTTTAATACATCTCAGAAAGTTAATTTAAAACGATCTCATGAGGTGAAATGCCAAGATATTAATACCGATTGCACCATGAGACCATATTATAAGTGACATAAACGTTACAAAACAATCTGAAATTTGGCCAGGCTGTTAATAGACAGCATTACACAATTCCTGACGCAGCCAGATAATACTGCATTTCTACTATGCAAATTTTTAACAGTGAATAGATTTTGAAAGGAGTTTACACCCACTACCCCTCAAAGGCAACTTGGTAATTCACTATTAGGTGCCAAGCTGTCATTTACAAGTCACTTCAGCCTACTGCTATTCTCTAGTCTACCTTGTTAGCACAAAGGAGCCACCAAAAAAATGCCACTTGATTAAAATGTATGAGCCCTAGAGGAACCTATTTTTAAGTCTGTAAACTAATACTGCTGTTGTATTAATAGCTTTGCTTTATTTTACCATTAATACTGGTCTTCTACTAAGGAAATACTGCAATGCTTTACCCTTTTGTATTTCAGAAGCAAAGCTCTGTTCTTAAGATATTTTTATCCATATAAAGAAGTCATTACACCACAGGGATCTATCAGAAATCTTGCTTAGGAAAAGGAAGGGACAAGAGGCACAGAGCTGGCACTTAGGGCCTGATTCACCTTATTTAAGCACATGTTTTGCTTTAGGCACATGAATATTAAGTGTGTATGCTATTTCAGAGGTAGCAGTGGTGGAAACAGAGAATTGACCCTCCCAACACACCTTTCTGACAGTGCCTCCCCTGCTGCCATCATCCACTGTTCTCCTCCTGGCTTCACAACACAGACACTGTGAGAGAAAACAGCTCAGAGGCCTGACGTGGCCGAATACCCAATATTACTTTTTTTTTTCCTGGGCAGTGGGTGTTCTGCTAGTGCCAGAGGGCACAACCCAGAGTACAAGTGAGCAGGAGCATGGGAAGCTGTAGATGCAGCAATGACACCATAGAAATGAGTGCTAGACAGCACCAGCTCCTGCTTGTGGCAACTTCCCACCAGAACACGCTCTTTGGTTTGTCAGCAGAACTACATGAAGAAAATCTGCAAAGAATCTATTATCTGCTTTTCCTTCTCCCTCTCAGAAACACAAAAATCTCAGCATATCAACCCTACAAGTATGCCCTGCCATCCTTAAAACATTCCAAGAAATGCTTAAACCCACAAAAGAAGGAAATTATTTGTCTTCAAAGTGCTTTAAATACCAGTGCTGTGCAAAGGTTGTACTCTCCTTCCAGCCTGCACATTGTGCTGAGTATCTCTGAACAGTGGAAAGGAAAACTCAGAGCACTGCACGATACGAACAACACCTGCACGTACACAGCAACCTGCTCAACACCTACTCCAACATAAAACTCCTCTCCAAAATGACTGAAAAATTAGTGATGTCAAAACAGAAAATTACCAGGAGACTAAAAATAGGGACATAGATTAGTCACACTATTGCTGTACACAGAAATGGAAAATGAAGACAGTTTTGCTCCAGAAGAGTGAGGACTGCTCCTGTCTGCGTCACAGCCCATCTTCCAGAGACCTCGTTAGGCGCTGCTGTCCTCTCAAGCTCACTTTTTTGTCTCACTTGCTCTGCCTTTGTGCCTCTGTGTGTCTGCCAATGCACACACATCCCCTGCTCTGTAGAAAGGACCCACTTAGAGCCACCAAGTGTGAATAAGAGCAGAGACAAGCCCTGAGTAGGACCCAGACTCCTTCTCAGTCGGAATTTTACAGAGACAGAAAAAAAACAGATGCATAATTCTGCTTGCAAAACTGTCAAGTACGGAAACATGAAAGGCTGTAAATAATTCACTCTATATTACAGGAAATGTTTTACAAATGAAAAGGTTGTAACCTCTTTTTTGCTACAAGGCTGGCAGATGCTGGAGGCATTGCTGCTTCTCTAAGCGCAGAACAAAATGTTCCCTGTTTATGAGAAACGAGCAGCGATTCTTGGTTCTCAGCCCTCTCCGGTACCGCTCCATGAAAAATGCTTCTGCCTCTGTTTCCGAGGGATGGCTCACACGGGAGTGAAGCCTGCACGCTTCTAGAAATGCAACTCAGGCTGACTAGCAATTTCTTGTGTTCTGATAACACAGCTGCTGCAATGCACAATGCAGAGCTGAGATAACACGAAGAGGATGGCTAAATTTGAATTATTTAGATTTACATAAATACAGTCACGTAACTGTTTAAAGATACACACATATAAACCAAAAACATGCAGTTATTACAGATGACAATGACAAATGTTTGATGCAATCTTAAAACAGTCACATCAGTCAAATCCAGTGGAAAATAGATCAACTCCAACCTCAAAGGGGTGGCCACAAGGTTGAGTACAAATTCCAGCCCAGAACACAGAAGCAATTCCAAATAAAGAGACTCTACTGCTTTAATTTCTTATCATTAAACATTTTGGCAACAAACTAAACAAACCTTAGTGGAGGTCTCTCTACAGCCTCCCCCACCAGGTCAGTTGGCAGCCCAACACAATGATGTTTTGTATAGAAAGGAAATCTGAAACTCACCTGTATGTTGCCAAAGTCCACGTTCTCATAATGGAAATGTGCACATTCAGCCATCTTCGGGAAATGACCCTTTGTAAAGGATAACCTGAAGCACACCAAAAGCACACTGTCAGGTAGATACAAATCACTGAACCAACACTCAGCACCAACAACTCTTACAAAATGCAGTTACTGCTATAAATAATGAGGACTTTCTCATCCTAAAGCCAAGGGAACAGAGGGGTTTGTTGATGAGATGCACCAAAAACAGTGGAGAAAGGAATTGAGTGAGAAAGGAAAACTAAATTGCAAAGTGGCTTTTATCATTGAATCCTTAAAGAATTGTGTGGCATTTCAGCAACACCAAAGCCCACAGCTTTCAGAAATGGTGCAGGGAGAAGCCGCTCGACCTTCACAAATGCATTTTTGCAGTGCAAATAAACAGCCTTACACGAGACACGTAGGAAAGGAGAACTTTACCTGTGAAAGGCATCACAGCCCATCAGTCCCGGGTTGATGTATCTGAGGGTGCAGAACAAACGCTATTTATCCTTTGCCTTTTTAAAATTCAAAAGTGAGGCAGAATTATTCCCAAGTGTCTCCAGTGACAATGATGGCTGACGGGGAGATCCTCTGGCTCTGCAACATGCTCTTGCTTCTGCTGAAGCTATTATAGACTCCTATAGATATTTCTGGTGGTGAGCCAATGAGATTGTCATTATCTAGCTCTCTCTTCCCACGGGAATACAAGTGGGAAGTGAGATGCAGCATCTGGCTGCTCAGCACTAGAACAAAGAGCCATTTCCCTTACAGCATCAGAGCACTACAGAGAGGTGATCTGAATCAATCAATATTGGGGAGTTCTGGTCCTCATGTCAGCATTCTTAGCAAAGACAAGTCAAAGAATATTGATTACTTCTGATCCCCTTTGCGGGTTGGAGGTTTGAAACCTTAGCTGCAAGCATAATAACTTGGATTACATTCTCCGGGAGAGAATGAGAGAGAGAGAGAGTGTGTGTAAGGTCACATTAAAAAAAAATCTGGGAGATCAGAGAAGAAAAAATTACCACTAAACAAGAAAAATTGTGCAAAACCCATTCAAATGAAGAGGTACAGATCAGAATGATTTAAAAAAAAAAAAAAAAAAAAAAGGAAAAGAGAGAAAATATCAAATAAAAAATGTGTCTAGGCCACCCACTTGTCCTGGTTTAGCTTCCCCAAGCATAAGCAGATGGGAGAAGGATCTCATTTCTACATTGCTTGGGCTTCTCTTTAACGTTTTTTATATTTTTTTATTTTTTAAATTAATCAGTTTCAGGAAGAAATTACAAAAAACTAAAAATACAGAAACAGTGAGGTTCAAATCTCTAACAAGCTTGTATTCTACGGCCAGACACAGGTGAGAGAGCCAACAAAACTTCTCCTGCCCCTAGTTTTAGACTACATTAGCTACGATTTACTCTGTTTTGCATGGATTTTGGTTGCTCAGATGAAGATAATATCAAAAATTGTTGCCAAATGCCCTCGCTATATTGCAGCACAACAGCTAAAACCCAGGATAGCAAAACTAGAAGCCCAGCAAAGACAGGAAAATCAAAGAACACTGCTCTTACTTTTTTACATTCTTCACTTTCATACTTGCTGTGCTGCCACAGGTCCGGAGCGCCAGCTCCCCCGGAATGTCAGGGATATCTGCACCTCTTGCCTGCAAAAGAGAAGATAAAAAAGAAGCAAGGAATTAAAATTTGAATGCATGCTATGGACAACTGCCTGCTAAGCAGCAGCACAGGTATTCATACATGTATGTACGAACAGCAGCATATATACATGTATGTACAAACACGGCTCACAGCTCCTGTGTGCTAGAAGTTGTACTTCTGCCTTTTTAACAAGGAAACCTGAACCTCAGGATTATGACAAGAACTTGATTCTCTCTTCTGAATCATGCTACAGAGCCTTGCTAATTCTTAGTAATAACTGCAAGATCCAATAGTTTTTCAATACTACTTCTGGTGTCTAAAGAGGAGATTTCCAGAGGTAGGAGTCTAATATCCATTCCTAAATTCTATATTTGGACTCCTCATTAAGCACCTGGTTTTCCAAACATCTGTGCACTGAGATTCAGGCAGAGGCACCAGAAGAAGCTGGATAGCTCAAACAGTAGAAGAGGAAGTTAATGACAGAGCTGCTTATATGAGGGAGACTGGCTTTTAAAAAAGATGTTTGGAGCTATTGGTATAAGTGCATGAGCATATTAAAATTCCTTAATCACTAAAATTCATTGACTTTAGTGAGGCCAGAACTCCAAACTCCCTCTTTTTATTTGTTCTGTCATGCTTTCCCATCCTCCCCTTCCTCCAGCTGCTTTTCCATGAGCTGTGAGCTCTGCTGGGGTAGCATTCACCAGCACAGGGCACTCTCCAACACTCAGTACCGTGTGTTTCTCTTGCTGTGCTGTACCAGGCCACAAACTCTGGAGGAATGAGGGGTTTTAGGTGAGGCTTTATGAGGGGAGCAGTGATCAAACAGGAAGATCAGCACAGCCTTGACAGAGCAGAAGGAGAAAAACATGGTCCCTGATGCTGGCCAGGGACAGCTCATTAGTGATGTGGGTGAGACCAGTTGAACGACCTTTTTTCTGCTTTATACAGTGTGCTACAAAACTTGAATAATGTCCAAAATTCACTAATGCTCAGGCAAGAGGAAGAGATGCACTTCAGTGCTCCCTCTCTTACAGGCCTGGAACAAAAAAGTGTCCTATTAAATTAATTTTAACAATGACAGGAGTAAAGAGATGAGTTCCCTGATCCAGATCAGTCCCAGTGCTTCTAAGCTGGTCCATCAAAAGATCTCTGAACAGAGGCGATCAGTCCCAAAGAAGTTACACATAAGAGAATATAGCTGTAGACTGCAGTCTAAAATTTGGAAACAACTTGGTCCTCCCACCAAAACTGGAGAGTTGGACAATCACAATTGAAGCTAGAAACCCACATATGGGGCGAACAATGGGGGAATCTTCCTCATCCCCCTCCCTGAAGCTCTCATTTTAGCCTGACACGGGTCACATTTACATGTGCTTCACCACATCAGAAAGAGCTGCAGAAAAGAAGTCAAAACCACTCACCGTGCCTGTACTCATTAACCAACAGGAGCAGAGCTAGAGGGAGTGATTCACCTCATTCAGCTCCAGACACACACGAGCTACGCGGCTACAACTGGCTTATCTACCCGCAGCTGCTTTCAGAGTCACCAGAGATAAACAGGCGCTTTGGGTCCGGGTCACCTACTCCAGATAACTAGTTCAGGACAAGAGCAACCATGGCACAGGAGTATCTCTTTCTCCCTTGCTAGAGGAAATCCAGGATGACCCTGGCTCAGATGCATACACACACCATAGACAGCTGTATTCACCCAACCACCATCACTGTGGCTTGAGCAGAGCAGGATCTCTGCACCCAGACTAGTCCCTGCCATCTGCAGCACTGCTCTTGGAAAAGGAATGGTGCAGCAACGAGGAGCGAGCTGCTCCCTTCCAACAGTACTGGATAAAACTGAAACCAGGCCACTCGCTCCCCCCTTTGCCCCTGTCACAGCCCTGACCATAAGCAACGCTTTCACTCTGCTGTCCCACAGCTGTACCAGACGTGCACATCCACTCACTGAACTAAAACTAGGACAGTATTTATATCCTTAAATAAACCCATCCTTGGCTGACTGACTGTCACTGAGCACACAATACTAGAGTTTGTAATAGGACACTTGAGAGTCTCATTGGGAATTTTCACATTAAGAGGATCACCAATTTAATAAACCTTACAGGTCTTTTACATAAGAAAATAACTAATTACACTAATAAATGTGCCGTTCCTGTAAGCTGTTTCAGGCAAAGCTGGATGCATTTGCCTTAATTTTCTAAGGAACAGAATTTCTGTAGGAAGAAAAATAATTTTTCTTCTCCATCAGCACTAGAAGCTGATGGGATATAAAAATGGATAAACAAATCTGACAGAAAAACGTGGGCTTCAAGCCAGTTTGCAGCAGTGGGTGGAGACTACCTTGGATCTGACTCAAAGTAGCGTAGGCAAAACTCACACCTTCAGGAGACTTAAATGCCAGCATCTCTCTTTGAAAAAGTTGCATTATCCTCTTCTTCCCAGTTGAGTTACGTCCAAATCGTGCTAGAAGGAGCTCTCTGCTTCTCCCAACAGCAAGTATCCATTTAAATGGACTACAATGAGATGCAATGCAGTAATTAACTCTGGTTGCTTTTCCAAATAGATCTGAGCTCTTTGGACTCTGCTGCACAACAACATCTCATAAGTCTCACAATTGAGGAAAAAGGGCAGAATGGTGATCTTGTGCAAGTTAAAGTTTTCAGTATGAGGTACTGACACAAGAAAAAAAATGGTGAATAGATAGATAAGCAAACAAGAAAGTTGCTGTGATATTAGAAAGCATATTACTCAAAAATAAACTGAAACTGCTTTCCATTTAAACCAAAGATACACAGCCACAGAAAAGCACATTAAATTCACCACTAGTTTGTACCTGTTTTAATCCAAAACCCAGCATGCAAAGTGTCACCCTAGATTACCCTCCTCTCAAAACACAAACAAAACACTCCAAATGAGATTTGTCATCTTTTGTGCTTTGTGTCACAGTAATTTAATTTTAAAAATCATTTTGAAACAGTTGAATTATTTACATCTGAAAATTAGCTAGCTAGCATCACCAGTTGCTTCTCACTTCCTTATTTTCTATGCATTGCTGTTCTGTGGAAACATAGTAATTGCATAGCAAATCTGTTCATGCAAATTATTTATTCCAATTTTCACAGCTTAATGTCACTGCTCGATCAATCTGTTTTGGTCTGAAACTCGGTAAACAAATTAGGACTCAATTTAGAATGCAGTCTATTGGCTTCACCAGGATCCTCAGTCCTCCTGCGTTTCCATTCAAGGCTTTAGATTAACACCAGCCTCCTCCTGCATTTGTATTAGTAGCAGTTGGGATAATATTTGAGAACTTCAGTATTTTATAAGAGACACCTACATCGATTGCCAGGCAGGTAGATCCCACTAAAAGGTCTGCTCTAAGCAATGTTGGGAGAATGCCTGTTTACAGACATGATTTGGAAAACTTCAGTTCTGTGCTGTTCAGCACACAAAGCCTTCGTCATCAATAATTTATATCTCATGATTCCACTGCATAATATGAAAGAATTTTCTCCTAAAAAGTCTTACTGCTTTTATCAGAAAATATGTCAACCCGTCTCCCTCACATCCAGAAAGGTAACACAACTTGAAAATACACGTAAAATTGAAGAAAACAGTCCAGTGAACACGATGTGATAGTTTCCACCTTGGTATCCTCTATAGGGGTATGTATGGAACCAATGCAAAACCCCAACCCTCCTCCTACTGCCACAGACTTACACTGGATGCACAAGAAGAGAAGGAACTGTGGAATCCCACCAAGCTCCAGTAATCCCATAACTGGGAAACTGGTTTTCCCCAATGCTACTCTAACACCCCTGAGCAGATACCATACACAGGAACGGACACAACACAGGACTTGGCAGGTCAGCATGTACCCAGGCTACTGAATTCAAGTGGGATTTCTAAAGGTGGAAATTTACTCTTAACCCACAGTTAACACAAAGCAAGAGTAACTATTGTCTAATAGTCACATTTATGCATCTTCCTACCATCAATCTTTCACCGAGACCAGTTTGGAGGGACCAGATTGCTCTGGATTCTTTCAGCACATCGGCTTGTTTCTAAAACTGGCAGAGCTGATTCAAAATGCTAGTTGGTTTCCATGACAGTCTTTCCTTTACATCATCTTCATTTCCCCTCGATTTTCTTGGGGACACACACACACAAAAAAAAGACACCAATAAACTCCCCAGAGCTTTCCAAAACAACAAAGCTTTGTTAGAGTTTTACTTCTTCACTGAAGAACAGCAGGAAACAGCAATGTTGTTTCAGTAAAAGTCATTACTCTGTGGTGAGTAATCACTTACTTAACTTGAGCAGAGGATGAGCTGAAGTGGCCGGTCTACACAGTTCCATATCTGAAGTGGGTGTTTATGCACAAGGACGTCAACATCTTGAGTACCAACTAGCTACACAAAGCTGGCTTGGCAGTAGATTCTTTGCAGAGCTTACTTTGCCACGTTAAAAAGAAAGTGTCCTACAAAAATCCCTTGGTGTCTATGAGGTAAAAGATGGTGCCCCATTAGCACTGTCCTGCTCTTACCAGTTACTGCTCAAGAGTCAGCCTCAAGCACAATGAAAGGAGAAATCTGCCTCATCTCAGCTTCATACTCCACAGCCACTAAAATACTCCAGGGAAAGCAAACTCTACTCTCACTTTATATATTGTAACAACTGTCCTGGTTCTCCACAATAAATAAAACAACAAAGCAAAGCAAAAATGCTTTGTACTAAACTGGAAGTCACCATGTCTGAGCTACTACAAATGACTCCCAGTAAAAGGCTCCAGTTCTGCAGCATTCACCAGTCCAAGCACCAGCCCTAAAAGGGTTAAAATGCACCTGAGCACAGGAAGGCCAGGACCTCGTGTATGGTAACTGCTGAAGGTACAACAGTGCTCATATGATGGAAATGCAAGTATTTACCAAGTTCTTCATATTACCACTTTCCTTTGATTCATTTAGTGGATGCCAATGAGTTCCTAGGT